TCTATCTGTTGTTTGTCAACCGCCAAAAATATCAAAGAAGAAGAAGAATCATTGCGTCATACCGCCGATGACGTCATCGAGGGCTTTGGGCCCAAAGCTTCGCCGCTCTGTACGGAACCTCCGGTTCTGATGAGGAGCAGGAAACATGGCTGCTGGTTCCGGAATGATCTGAGCGTCAGACCAGTGGTTTCCAGGACCGGAACCGCCGCCATGATGGTTCTAACCGAGCCGGTTCTGACCAAAGAAGTTCTTCACTGATTCAGAACCGGTACCGCTCAGATGAACCGGATCGGGTCTGAAACTGTTCTGCTTTGTTCTGTTCACAGCTGTCCTGACCCGGGTCCAGATGGTCGCCATGGCTACCAGCTGAGCCTCCTCCCAGCAGCATGCAGGCGGCGCCGCAGGATACCGACTCCAGCGGCGAGGATGCGCTGGTTCTGGCCTTACACGGACCCAACAGAACCCTGCCAGCGGTCCCTCTGAAGAATAGATCTATGCTCCGCAGGAAACGGGAATTCATCCCGGAGGAGAAGAAAGACTCGCTCTACTGGGAGAGGCGCCGCAGGAACAACGAAGCCGCCAAACGCTCCAGGGAGAAGCGGCGCTTCAACGACCTGGTTCTGGAGAACCAGCTGATGGCGCTGGGCGAGGAGAACGCTTCGCTGAGGGCCGAGCTGCTGGCGCTGAAGATCAAGTTCGGCTTGGTGAGCTCCTCGGCCCACCAGGAGGTCCGGTCCGGCCAGCGGTTCATGAAAGCAGATCTAGAGCAGGTAGATCTGCCAAACACTTCCGTCATCAAACTCTCGCCTCTAGTGCCTGAAATGTGGGCAGCAAAGCGGGCCTTGCTCTTCAGAACAGAAGATCTGAAGCAAGAAGCAGAGGAGAGCAGCGCTGCTTCTGAACAGGTCAGAACCGGCCCGGTTCTGGTCCGTCTGCAGCCTGCCGGGTCGTCCAGTAACTCCCCCAGAACCTGGGAGGAAAACGCCATCAGTGAGGATGAGCAGCGGGTCCCCAAGGGTCCGGCCTCGTCTGCAGCCGACCAAAGAAGCGTCATCGTTTCCGCCCACAAAGTGCCAGAACCCGGTTCTTCAGCTTTGCCCCATAAGCTGCGGATCAAATCCAGAACCATCCAGATCAAAGCGGAGCCTCCAGACCCTGAGTATGAGGCGGCGCCTCCCGTCCGCTGTCCCCTGTCCCTACAGGTGTCCAACATGCTGGGCTGGGGCCACGGGCCTGCCGGCGCCCATTCTGCCCAGTGGCTGAATCAGTAGGAGGAGCCTGAGACCTTCACCTCCTGCTGTGTGGACCTGTTGGACCAGCCCGACCCGGGTTCTAACCTGGGATCTAACCTGAGGTTCTAACCTGAGGTTCTAACCTGAGGTTCTAATCCAGGTCCTTACCCCGGTTTTAACCTGGATCTAACTCAGGTTCTAACTCAGGTTCTAACTCAGGTTCTAACCTGGGTTCTAAACACGGTTTTGACCTGGGATCTAACCGGGGTTCTAACTCAGGTTCCAACCAAGGTTCTAAACACGGTTTTAATCTGGGATCTAACCGGGGTTCTAACCCTGGTTCTAAAAAAGGTTCTAACTCAGGTTCTAACCTGGATTCTAAGTCAGAATCCAGGTTAGAGCCAGGTTAGATCCCAGGTTTTAACCTGGGATCTAACCGGGGTTCTATCTCAGGTTGTAACTCAGGTTCTAACTCAGGTTCTAACCCGGGTTCTGAGGCAGGATGAGGAATGGTTCTGGAACAGATGTTGATGTTTGGTTCATGATGATCGGTTTATTAAAATGACAAAATGTTGAGTTTTTCATTGACTTTTTAAGCAAATGTTCATTAAAGTATTTAAAGTTTGGATGTTTTATTGATTTTTTTTAATCCTTGGATTCTATAAACTTTTCATGAATCGTCTGATGGTGAAAAATATCGGAGTGTAAAGCTGTTAGATGGCAGCAGCAGGGATTTTAAACCTGGTTATTGGCTGAACTCAGAGCCCAGAACCATCATTGGGTCGCTCATGGCCGCTAACGCTAACGTTTGCATTAACCTAAAAGTGTCCTCCCACAGAGGCCTGCTTCTGAACAGGTCAAAGGTCAGCGACAGAACTGGAACCAGGCAGACCTGCAGCCTGGTTCTGACTGGCTCAGGACTGTAGTCTCAGTCGGGGAACAAACTGATCATAGCACTGAAACAGCTCTGGTGAAAGTCACTAATGATATTCTAATGGCCTCAGATAATGGACTTGTATCTGTGCTCGTCCTGTTGGATCTCAGTGCTGCATTTGATCCAGTTGATCAGAATATTCTTTTAGAAAGACTTGAATAT